TACAGAGAAATCCTGTCTCTAAAAACCAAAAATAAATAAATAAATAAATAAAATGAGGTTTAACCTTACTGACAAGAGCTGACCTCGAAAACTGTGACTCTCCCAGCTTTAGCATCCTGAATATTGGGATCACAGGAAAGCGCCGTCCACCGGATTATCCGTTTGATGTTTAGAGGATTCCAGTCTGTTGAGCCCCCCCCCCCAGTGCTACACCTGCCTCACTCAGCCTCCTGCTTTCCTGGCAGTGATTGCAGATTTTCCCCAATTAAGCAACTTTAATTAGTGTCTTATTTTCTGTCTTAAAATTATGATTTCGATTTTAAAAACATTTGGAAGAACTGGATGCATTCTTTTTCTTAGCAGATTAGTGGGGTAGACTTAGAATTGTGGAACTCAATCCTTTAACATTTTAATGAGTTAGCTATTGCTCTCAGACCTGCTTCCTCAGAAGGGGTGGGTCAGGTTTGGAGACTACCTCCTTACCCTTTGTCTCTCTTCCTTCTGTAATCTCCCTTATCTAGTTTGTTCCCCTCCCCCACCTTCTGGACATATCCTTCCTGGCTCCTTCATTACTTTCCCCCCCCCTTTTTTTTCTAACCTCAGGTCATTTGATTGTCCTTGTCTCCTATCCTATCCCTGTTCTTCTCTCCTGTGAATTCTTGGCATTGCTCGGTCGTTTTTCTTTTTGTTTCTTTGGTATTTCTCTGTAGCCCTGGCTGTCCTGGAATTCACTCTGCAGACCAGGCTGGCCTCAAACTCACGGAGATTTGCCTGTTTCTGCTACCTTGGTGCTGGGATTAAAGGCATGGGCCATGAGCACCCCGCAACATTTACATTTCTCTTTTCATCTTTTAAAATATATAAAATACTGTTCCTTAGTTTTTGTTGGTCCTTCCTTTCACTGTCTTTTTTGCTTTTAGAAGGACCTTTCTACCTCCATTTTTCTCTTCTTACCTTTTGACTATTTGGCTGCAATGAGACACCGGCCCCCTCCCATCTCTGTGGGGCTTCAGGGACGCTTTACATATGGAAGGAGGCTGCATCTGCTAGCTTTCCCTGCTGCATTTCCTTGAGCAGCCCCATGCACTCACATTTCCTGTGGTAGCGAACTGTCTAGGAACTGCAGCAGTCGCTGGCCCCTGCTTCCTTTCTATGTAGAATTTAGCTGCGGGGAGAACCAAGTCCAGTGGCAATTTTTTTTTCAAAAAACAGTTTTAAGTCTTATTTTTTATTTTGTTGTTTTTGGTCAAGTGAAAACACCTTTAAGTTCTCTGGGATGGAAATCAGTTTGCAAGTAGCTCTAGGCATGCAAATGATGCTTTTTGACCACTGCTGGTAGCAGGAAGGATTGCAGTATAATTTCAAATTGACTGTAGCCCAATGGTTATATCCATGCAGCAGCTACTGCCAACCCAGGGGGCTTCCAGAGATCCAGAATGAGGAGGGATGGACTTAACAGCACATTTTCCCCCCCTCTATTCCTGCTAGACCGGTTTTTATGTGTAACTTCTATGGCTGTCCTAGAACTTGTTCTGTAGACCAGGCTGGCCTGGAACTCAGAGATCCTCCTGCCTCTGCCGCCCAAGTCCTGCTATTAATACTTTGTTGCTTTTTCTTCATAAATACTTTTATTTAAAAATTGTTGGTGCGCAGTGTCACCCTCTGGTAAATACTATGTGTGTGCACTGTGTGTTCTGTACACGAGTGCTTGTGTAAGACCGGACAGCCTGTAGGCTTCTGATAACCAAGCTAAGTTTGTTTTCTCACTCAGCCTTGGCTTCTAGACACTTTACCTGCTTGAGCCATCCTCTATGCCCTGATTATTATTATTTTAAATAATTGCGACACAATCTTTTTTTTTTTTTTTTTTTTTGGGTTTTCGAGATAGGGTTTCTCTGTGTTGTTTTGGAGGCTGTCCTGGAACTCGCTCTGTAGACCAGGCTGGCCTCGAACTCACAGAGATCCGCCTGCCTCTGCCTCCCAAGTGCTGGGATTAAAGGCGTGCGCCACCAACGCCCGGCATTGCGACACAATCTTAAGAGCTCTTAGGGAAAAAGTCATAAAATCCACATATTGAGGCAATGTTTTTTTTTCTCCCGAGATAGGGTTTCTCTGTATTACTTTGGAGTTTTGGAGGCTGTCCTGGAACTTGCTCTGTAGACCAGGTTGGCCTCGAACTCAGAGATTCGCCTGCCTCTGCCTCCCGAGTGCTAGGTGTGTACCACCGCTGCCTGGCTCTAGAGGAGCAGCTGAGCCATCTCTCAAAGAAACAAAATGACTAGCTCATAGTAGTTTTAACCTATCCCCCACCCCCACCAAGTAGCCTTGAACATGACCCTCCAGCTTCTACCATACAAGTACTGGGATTAGTCGCACATACCACCCAGCGTGGCTTTTTTGTTTATTTTTTGAGACAGGCTCTTGATATAGCTCTGGCTGTCCTAGAAGTGTCTCTGCTTCCCAATGTTTGTACATAAGATTTCATTCTTGTGAGTCTACATCTATGCTGTATAGGTTGGTCCTCCTGCCTTTGCTTTTAGTTTTTTGCTGTATTTTGGCTGGCCTGAAACTTGCTTTGTAGATTAGGCTTGCTTGGAACTCACCAAGCTGCTTGTCTGCATTTCCACTGTTAGGATTAAAGGTATGTGCCAGCTCTCTGGCTTGTTTTTTTTTTTTTCCGAGACAGGGTTTCTCTGTATTGTTTTGGAGACTGTCCTGGAACTTGCTTTGTAGACCAGGCTGGCCTCTAACTCACAGAGATCCGCCTGCCTCTGCCTCCCGAGTGCTGGGATTAAAGGCGTGCACTACCAACGCCTGGTTTCTGGCTTGTTTTTTAATAATGCTATAATTTATTTGTATTTTGGGCTGGAGAGATGGCTCAGTGGTTAAAAGCACTGACTGCTCTTCCAGAGGTCCTGAGTTCAATTCCCGGCAACCACTTGGTGGCTCACAACCACCTTGAATGAGCTCTGATGCCCTCTGCTGGCAGGCAGGCAGAAGATTGGATACATAATATTAATAAATAAAATATTAAAAAAATAATTTATTTGTATTTCAAGATGGATTTTCCCATTGTTGCCCTGGCTGTTCTGGGATTAAAGGCCATGTGCCACCACACTAGGCATAATGTTCATTAAATTAAAAGTTAATTTTATGGCGTATTTTGTAATTAATCAATACTGTAGACCAACTTAATATGGCTACATTACATTTAGGGGGGGGGTTGGAAGGCCTCCCAGTATTCAAAAAATCCTTCACTTGGAGACACTTTAGTTTATCACAAAAGGTTACATTGCATCAGTGACTTCATGGTGATAAGCAATAAAGTTCAAGGGGCCCATGTTTCCTTCTGATTGTCTCTGAAGCTTGCTTGCCTGCCTGTTTAGTCATTGGTTTCTTCATCTACAGTTGGGATTTTAGGAGTCACTGACCTTTAAAAAAAAAAACGAAAAACTGTTCAGTTTGAAAAGACCTTATCTTCGAATCTACCTTCACACTCATTTCTTTGGTATTTGTTTTCTATTTGTGGGTGTGTGTGAGTGAGTGAGTGAGAGAGAGAGAGAGAGAGAGAGAGCTTGAGCAGTTATTTAACTACACTCTGAATTTCTAAGCACTTCATTTAAAAATAGAGAATTGACAAGATCAATTTGTAAACTTCCTTCAAAAGCAGATCCCAGGATATCCTCTGGCTTATCCAGATTACTGGCCCACAAACATGAATTTTAATTTTCTTTCCAGTTCCTAGGTTATGCTTCTATATGTCCTGCCATCTTTTATTTTGGTTTTTACGAGACAGGGTTTCTCCGTATTGTTTTGGAGGCTGTTGGTCCAACCGGCCTCGAACTCACAGGGATCCGCTTGCCTCTGCCTCCCGAGTGCTGGGATAAAAGGTGCGTGCCACCACCGCCCGGCATGTCTTGCCATCTTGATGGAAGATTAAAATACATACCTTGAGACTGTTAAAATTGTAGAGATTGGAATGAATGTCATTTCATAATGGAAACAGTTAATAGGATAACTTTTGGCTCCCTGAGGAAAGTTCTCACATTATCTGAGGGTGTGTGTGCCTCAGCACAGATGTGTAGGACCTCTGGAGCCCGAGTTACTACAGTGCCCCCTACGGATGTGGGGTTACCTGAAAGATGAGTACACTGAAGTTCTTCTGGCTTCCTATGTTTTTTTTTTTTTCCTTTTTTTTTCTGAGACAGGGTTCCTCTGTAACAGCCCTGGCTGTCCCTGGACCTTGCTCTGTAGACCAGGCTGGACTCCAACTCAGAGATCCACCTGCCTCTGCCTCCCGAGTGCTAGGCGTGTACCACCACCACCTGGCTTGTTTTCTTTCTTTTTAAAATGTACTTTTGCCAGGTGGTGGTGGCACATGCAGTCAAACACTCATGCACATAAACATTAAATAAGTAATTATTTTATTAATGTAATTTATTATAATAATATAATTTTTTAAGAAGAAAAGCCAGGCTGGGTGGTGGTGGTGGTACACGTCTTTAATTCTAGCACTCGGGAGGCAGAGGCAGGATGATCTCTAAATTTGAGGCCAGCCTGGTCTATAGGTCAGTTTCAGGACATATACAGATAAAGTTACATAAAAACAAGAACAAAACGAAATGAGTGTTGGCCTCTGTGTACATGTACCAAATGACAGTGCACCAAGGTACATGCCTGGTGCCCAAGGATGCCAGAAGAGGGCATCAGGTGTCCTAGGACTGAAGTTTCAGACAGCTGCCATGTGGGCTCTGGAAATTGAGCCCAGGTCCTCTGAATAAGCAAGCCATCCTGGCTTTTCTTTTCTTTTGAGAGTCTAATACTGTAACCCAGGATATCCTGCAACTCAAATGCTGTGAATATAAATTGAGCCACTCTGTCCAGCCAGATACTATCTGTATATTTATTTGGCAGTAAACATTCTGTTTCTTAAGTTATTAATTTATTAGCAAATATCTTTCTAGTAGTGTACAAAGGACTAATAATATTTTTTGTTTTAGACTAAAACCTCACGTGGCCAAGCTTGGCAACAGCTACAGATTCTCTTCAGAAGGAAGATTTTGCGAAGGACCCATGACTCTGAGTCCTGCTTCCCTGCATCTCTTCCTACGCTACAGCCATGCCTCGGTCCAGCCATGCAAAGCCTTCCAAATCAGTCAGGATGGATTTACACAAAAAGGAAAGCAGCCTGAAGAACACATTAAAGCGAGTGGCCAAACGTAAGTTGTCAGGGAAAATGAACCCTGGAAAACTGAAGGAATTAATTCAAAGAAGAGATGGTAAGAAAGAAACAGAAGACAAAACCTCCACACCTTCCAGAAGTCCTCTGACCAGAGCTGGGGCAGCCCGAATGAATGAGGATAGGAACCAAGATCTTTTTCAGAATCCAGAGTCCTTAACTTGCAAGGGGTTTACAATGGCTCTCAGAAGAACCTCTCTTAGCAGGCGACTCTCCCAGTCCCCAGTATTTACGCCCAAACGTAAGAAAGTGCCATCTTCTAAGAGTGTTTCAGAACAGCAGTGTAATCCTAATACCCAGGATGACACAGTGGTAGAGCACTCAGAAAATGATTCAGTCCCCAGCCAAGACCCCATTACGTCCCCAGACACAGAGAACCTCATTGGTGAAGACAGCTTATGTTTAGTTGAAGATGAAATCCAAGAGATAACCCAGTCTTTGCCTCAAAGGGTAGAAGAGTCCCAAAGCTGTCCTCCCACATATGGCAGTCCTACAACAGATACACTTTCTGGGCCACCAGAAGGGACACACTGTGAAGGACTACTCTCTCCTCAGACATCAACTGATGTCAGCACGTCCCCTCAGGAGTGTGCTCCTTTGCCTCAAAGATCAACTCCCGAAGACACCTCTCAGAAAAACACTAGCAATCAGTTTGAAGACTTGGGGTCACAAGCAGAGTGTCTTACGCTACCAGAGCCTTCTCCCATTCCAATGGGAAGTGAACATAACTGCTTTCCCATGTCTAATTTTAAGATGCTACCAGAATTGGATCTTAAAAACTGCATGCCTCTTGATGGGTCTATATATCCCACAGCGCTGATAAAATTCTTTTTGGCAGGATCACAGCCGGATATCCTCGGTGCTAAACCCCAAGAAGAACCCCTCAAAACTAACCCAGATCAAGGCGGGTGCTGCCCAGATCAGTTTCTGGATGCCACCTCTGTCCTAGGACAGGCTTTCAGTACTCTCCCACCTCAGTGGGAACTTCCTGGTGCTAACTTAGTTCCTGGTGAGGCCCTGGACAAGGTCTCAGACTCACCAGAAGATCTTGGTGCTATTACTTTAGTAAACCAACAAGAAACTATGAATGTGCATATGGGTCCTTCCTCAGACCTGCCTATCTTCCTGCCTAACCCTCCAAATACAGTTGCTACCTACAGTGCTCCTCCTCCCAGGCCTGAGCCCTACAGCTATGCCTCCTGTGGGCTGGAGGTCCAAGGTGCTATACCAATTTTAGCTTTGGACTCAGGATTTGTTCCCCAACCCCTACCAAATGCTGAGTTGAGTTCAATACCTCCAGTCATAGCTGCAAACGGTATACAAGACGAGAAGCAGTTTTGTGCAAACCCTTTTGCAGTTAACACACAGGGGTTTGCAATCGCCTCCGAGAATGAACTCCAGAATGCTCCATTGGATCTTACCCAGTGCTCTCAGGCTGCTCCCAGCAAATTGGAAGGAGGGGTGATTTCTCAGGTCAACACGCCCAGCTCAGCTGATGTCAAAACCACAGGGATGGCGACGCCAGTATCACAGGCCAGTGCCTCTTCTCTTTCACATAAACCTACACCACCAACTGTGGAGAGGAAGAAACGCAAGCCTTGTGGCGTCTGTGGGCCCTGCCAGCAGAAGACCAACTGTGGCGAATGTACCTACTGCAAGAACAGAAAGAACAGCCACCAGATCTGTAAGATGAGGAAGTGTGAGGTGCTCAAAAAGAGGCCAGATGCCACCGCAGGGGTAAGGGTGAGGCAGCAGCCACGTGGTTGGGGTATCTTTAAGGCTTGATGGGGCGCCCCGGGGTGGGTGGGGTGTTTCCCCGAACATCTCTCTGTAAGAACTTGTGAGTGATGTCTTTATCTTGTGGTGGAATGATGGGGGGGATTGAACCCAGGCCTTCCAGCAAGCTAAGTGTGTTCACTATCCTTACCTACTTCCTCAACCTTTACCAAATTCTTTTCTTTCTTCTTGAGATTGGTAGCCAAGGTTGTATGTAGCTAGGATTACCATAATTTCTAGTCCTGCATTAGGTAGTTAAGAACTGCCTGACACTCCTGCTCCAGGTTATGAGCACACCTGCATGAACGTGGTACATAGGAGCTCATACAGACATACATGAATCTTTTTTTCTTTATCTTCGAGACAGGGTTTCTGTATCTTTGGAGACTGTCCTGGAACTCTCTGTAGACCAGGCTGGTCTGGAGCTCACAGTAATCAGTAATCTGCCTGTCTCTGCCTCCCAAGTGCTGGGATCAAAGGCATGTGCCACCACTGCCCAGTTCTTTCTTTTTTCTTTTTTGGTTTTTCGAGACAGGTTTCTATGTGGCTTTGGAGGCTGTCCTGGAACTAGCTCTTATAGACCAGGCTGGTCTCGAACTCACAGAGATCTGCCTGCCTCTGCCTCTGGAGTGCTGGGATTAAAGGCGTGTGCCACCACCTCCCAGTCCTTTTTTTTTTTTTTTTTTGGTTTTTTTTTGAGACAGGGTTTCTCTGTGGCTTTGGAGGCTGTCCTGGAACTCGCTTGGTAGTCCATGCTGGTCTCGAACTCACAGAGATCCGCCTGCCTCTGCCTCCCGAGTGCTGGGATTAAAGGCGTGCGCCACCAACGCCCGGCTACCAGTCCTTTTTTTATATAATTTTATATAATGTATTTTATGTGCTTGGTCTGTGTGAGGGTGTTGGCATCCCTGGAACTGGAGTTATAGATAGTTATGAGCTGCCACATGGGTACTGGGAATTGAACCCAGGTCCTCTGGCCAGTTCTTTTAACCACTGAGCTACCTCTTATTTCCTTTTGCTTCTGAAATGCTTAATGTGTGCTATGCTGAACTCCTGGACTTATATTAGACTATAGTCTCAGCATTATTCAATTTGAGGAATTGAATATATATGGCTGTTTGCATACTAAACATGTATTCTTCCAATGATTTATATACCCAAATTATCTCAATCAGCACAGCAGTACCTTGAGCCGTTGTATTGTCTGGCATAATGCTGTGCTGACTGTGTATGCACTCTTTACTGGTCCAGAGCCCAAGGCAGTTCATCAAAGTGGAGTTAGTTGGTGTTAGTGGAGAACTGCAGCTAGGAACTACTAACCTTGATGATAAAAATATTATTGCAATGTTAGAAGGTTGTTATGGGGACCAAGGAGATAGTAAGGTGCTTCAAGTCTGATGTGCAGACCAGCCTACCAGTAAATGTTTTTGTTTTGCAACAGGGTTTCTCTGTGTAGCCTTGGTTGTCCTATAGACCAGGCTTGCCTCAAACTCTGCCTCCTAAGTGCTGGGATTAAAGGAGTGACCCACCAGCACCAACCGGCTCCAGTATATAAATGTAGTAAATTTCAAGAAATCATAAATTTTTTTTGAGACAAGGGCAGGTCTCAAACTCATTGTGTGGAAGACTGGCCTTTAATTGCTGATTTTCCTGCCTCTACTTCCCAACTTCCCATGGGGCAAGGTCATGCTCCCTTTGCTTTGTTTTGTGAGACAACTTATCACAGTGCTGCACAGGTTGACCTGAATCTAACAGCATCCTCCTTGCCTTAAGATCTGGCCAGTGTGGAGGGAACACCTTTTAATCCCAGCACCACCAAGAAAAGGAGAGAGAGGGAGATGGGAAGGGGGACAGAGAGGGGAGGGAGGGAGAGAGAAAAAGAAAATAAGCAGTATTCCTTTTATGATGGGTGGTGACCATAGCATGCAAACCCAAACAATCCCTTTCCCTCCCGGAGTTGGTTTTGGTCAGCATTTGGCCAGTGTAGCCAAATGCATGAGCTGGTTCACCTTTCACCGAGGACCCTGTTTCGAAAAACAAGGTAGATGACTCCTGAGGAACAGCTTAGGTTAACATGATTATATGGCCTCCACACATGCTCACATTCTCACAGTAACTGGGGGTCCTCAGAACAGCAGGGGACTCACCAGTTCTTTCCTGTCTGTGCAGAAGAAATTCTCCTGCCTGAGCATTGTAAATAAGCTGTTTTGTTCCTGGGTGAAACAGAATTCTCTTGGTTTCCATTGAGATAACCATGACAACAGCCATTTTCTTCTCTGAGAGACTTTTGGTGTCTCTGCATTTTTAGATATTTCTGCTCTACAGCTTGCTTTTATGTCATCCTATGCAAACCTATATTGTTTTTTTTTTAAAGATTTATTTATTTATTACATATACACCAGATTGAATTGTAGATGGTTGTCAGCCACCATGTGGTTGCTGGGAATTGAACTCAGGACCTCTGGAAGAGCAGTCAGTGCTATTGACCTCTGAGCCATCTCTCCAGCCTGCAAACCTATATTGTTAAAGAGCAAAAGTGAGGTCAGGACAGGAGGAAATAGGGGTGCAGGACAGGGATGTTGGATACAGTGCATATAGGATACACATAGCAAACAGTTCTTGCCTTTGTGTGTGAATCTCTTCTTAGAGAGCTAATTTGCAAGATGTGTTTACTGGGTACCAGAAATTAAAACAATTTATAAAAGGTTTGCCTATTTACCTGCATGTGTTTGCCTGCATGTTTGTAAGTACACTGCATGCATGTTGTCCACAGGTCAGGAGAGGGCATTAGATTCCCCTAGAACTGGAGTTACAGCCATGAGCCACCAAGTGGATGACTATAGTGGAAGCCAGGTCCTCTGCAAGCGCAGCAATAGCGCTGAAACTCTGAGCCATATCTCTCTAGCTCCTTAAAATTTTTTTTGGGTTTCTCTGAAGCCCTGGCCTGGATCTCTTTGTAGACTAGGCTGCCTCCAACTAGACTACCTGTGTCTCCCAAGTGTTGGTTCTAAAGGTGTGGGCCACCACCACTTTGCTTTAAATTATGCTTATTTTACTGAACAACTTTTCTACTTCTGTTAAGAACTGACAGCCAGCCAAGCCAGGTGTGCTGACTTAAGGCTGTAATCCCAGCTCCTGGGAAGTGGAGATAGGAGTTCAAAGCCATCCCTGGCTATTTAGAAAGCTAGCCTGGGCTGTAGGAGACCCTGCTTCAGAAACAAATCAAGGAAGAACAGAAATGAACCCATACTTAGTTAACCATACAACTTTTAACAATATTTAGATTTTGGTTTGCAACACTCTGAATAGGAGAGAGGGGCAAACTAGCATGACGTTGCTTTGGGCCAGACGCAGGTGCAAGACTGTCATTCTCAGGTTGGCCTCAAGTGTAGCCAAGGACCATGAACTTCTCATCTTTCTGTACCTACCTCTGTATTGTTGGGGGGGATCATGGGTGTGTGCCAACATGTGCTGCTGCAGATGGAACCTGGGGATTTGTGTAGGCTAGACAAGTTCTCTGCTAACTGCTACACCTGCAGCTCCATGCTGGGTAGCGGGGGCAGGGGTGGGATGGGTGGGGTGGGGTAGGGATGGGAGGGGGTGGAAGTATCTCTGGCTTTTTTCTAGTGGGGATAACTGAAACCAACAAATGCTAATTTACAGAGATTTACAAAGGGTTTCCCATGATAGATAAGGACAGTTTTCATTTCTTCTCAGTCTTATTAACAAATGTAAAAATTTTCAGATGTGTGTGAGGGGGAGGGAGAGGAGGAGAGAGGAAAGAGAGATACCACAGCACAGCATGTTCTGAGCATCACAGCCCATATGTGGAGGTCAAAGGACAACCTGCCGATGAGTCTTCACCTTGTGGGCACTGGGTTGTTCAGCTTGGTAGCAAGCACCCGTTACCCCCAAGCCATCTGTAATCTCATCTGATTGTATGTATCTCCACAGTACGGTATCTCATTTTCCTTAGTATTTTCAATGTTGAAGCTCAGAGCATTGCCCAGGCTTGTGAGCTTCCTGAACAGCTGTGTCTAGAGGGTATATCCAGTGCCTGGCTTTCACTATAATTTTGTTTCACATGGCAATTTTGTTTAACATGACAATTAATGGTGTCCTTATGCTGTGCTGTGATCTTTTTCCCCTCCTTTTGAAGTGTTTTCATGTTGAGCTTGCTGACTTGACTATAATCTTAGTGCTCAAGAGGATTGGTGACAGGATCAGTTAGGCTCATGACTTCAGGACCACCCTGGATAACATCATAACCTATCTCTGAGTTAGATACAGATTCGCCTTCCTCATTTTAAAAATTGAGTTCTCTTTTTGTTGAATGCTAAGAATCCTTATGTTCTAGACATTAGGGTGTAATTTTTGTTGGGATGCTGGGTTTTGGTGTGTGTGTGTGTGTGTGTGTGTGTGTGTGTGTGTGTGTGTGTGTGTATCTGTATCCTTGGGTGCTAGCTAATGAATCAGGCCCCCCTTAGGCATGCTAGGTGCCTGCACTACTATAGAGATACAGGCCCAGCCTATTTAATGTTATTCTTGGATGCACAAAAACTTGTTAAGGGCTGCAATGCTTATTTACTAACTAGTAATTCACAAGACCCTGTCTTCAGTCCCCATCAATAAAACAAAAATGAAACAAAAAGGCGAAAGTACAAAAGTTTCCCTGTCCTTTGTTGTCTGGCATCAAACATCATGATGCTGTGTGTGAGGCAATTGCCACTCAAACAGCTCCAAAATCTTGTTAGTTTTTTATTTTATTTTAATTAATCTATACATTTCCCTGGTTGCTTTAGCTGAACCTTTTTTCATCTAGGATTATAAAGTGAAATTAAAACCTCATGTACTCAACTGCTCTTGATCCCATGTGGCAGGTTTGTGGGGCTAGGATTCTTTTTGCCCCTCTTCATTCCTTTCCCCATTGTGCCTGGTGGGTACCAGAACGCAGTAGAGGTGGTTGCCATACAGATGCCGGTTGAGTTCGGTGATCATAGTATGGAACGTGTGTATATAGTGGATACAGATGCTGGTTGAGTTCGGTGATCATAGTATGGAACGTGTGTATATAGTGGATATTGGTTTCTGTGGTTTTCCTTTTTTTTTTTTTTTTCTTTTGGAAAAGGGTCTCACTGTATTCCTGGCTGACCTGGAACTTACTCTAATTTTAGCCACTAAAGTTCTGGGATTACAGGCATGTCCTGCAAAAGTCAGCAATATTGGTGTACAGCGACAGGCTGATAATTTGTGCATTTAGTATTTATTGGGTCTCCAATGTTGCTTGACACACTTTAATCTTACAATAGTGCTTTGCAAGATTTTCTGCCTCCAGCTACTTAAGTAAGAGGCCAAATGACTTGCCTAAGGCTGTAGTTGATGTGGGGTGTAGGGATGTGGTTTGGGAGGTCTGTTCATTTTATCAACATCTCTCTGAGCTTCGGTGATAAGCAGACTCTGAGGGCTGGAGGAGCAGAACGCAGCAGCCTGGTTGAGTGACAGTCATTGAAGGAAATGCTTTGGAATCCTAAATCCCTTTTCAGGTATAAAATATTTACCTTGTTTCATTGAATGGGTGAAGCATGTAAAGAGGACAGAGGTCAACAGGAATGTCTCCCTCACTTCCTTAGACTGACTAGTCTCATAATGTCTGCCTCCCCCGTGCTAAGAAGACAGCCACAGTGCTCAGGGTTCACTCTGGAGCCCGGATTTATCTGGGAGTTTCTGAGAACACAGATTTTTTTCCTCTTTAGTTTTCACTGTATGTAGCCCTGGCCTGCCTCTACTTGACCCAGTGCTAGGATTACATTGTACTCAGTCTTATTAATTATGGACAGCCATAATTCTCCAATGACATAATGACACTGGCTTCAAGTCAAGGATGCTCAGTGGAGTGTGGACACGTCCAAGGACATACTTATTTTGTATAAGACTGCATTGTCCCCTGCCCTCAAGATGATGAGGCTAGCATATCTTTGAGTTCAGAGCCAGCCTCATGTCTCAAGTAATAGGAGGGGGTGGGGGAAAATTGTCCATGTTAACAGCATTGGAGGACTTGAGCCATCACTCAGTGCACGTGCTGCTCTTGCAGGGAACCTGGGTTCAAAGCAACCACAAGACAGACCTCAGCCATCCCTAATTTCAGTTTTCAGGGCAATCTGACCCCCCATTTCTGATTTCCACATGTGGTTTATAGATATACATGCAAACAAAGCACATACATAAAATACTGTTCAGATTGTTTTTTGAGATACGGTTTCAACGTAGCTTTGTAGCCTGTCCTGGAACTTGCTCTGTAGACCAGGCTGGCCTGGAGCTCAGAGATCAGCCTGCCTCCCAAGCACTGGGATCAAAGCACTACCACCTTCCGGCTGTTTTTTGTTTTGTTTTTTAACTAAGATGTTTCTGATGGAAATAAGGCAATTTAAAAAATTTGTATCAAGTCTGCACTGTTAAGTACTTGTAAGGCAGGGATCAGCACGGCTGAGTGTTCTTCCTGACTTCTGACCCCAGACCTCAAACTGTGCACTGAATGTACTCCGACACTCTGTCTACGAAGATACCGATTATCTTTTAAGATGGCCTGCGGCAAGATAGCCCTGCTTTATTTTCTTCAGGCCAGCCCTGCAAGCTATACCTGACACCTGCAAGCTATACCTGAAGGCCTTGCATTGCAAAGTCCTAAACAATCACCCATGTCCAGAAACGGAGCAAGCATAGTGTGTGTGTGTGTGTGTGTGTGTGTGTGTGTGTGTGTGTGTGTGTGGTTTGTTTGTTTGTTTTGAGGCAGGCTCTCTCTGGCTTTGGAGCCTGTCCTGGCAATCACTCAGTAGACCAGGCTGGTCTCGAACTCACAGATCGCCTGTCTCTGCCTCCCGAGTGCTTGGGATTAAAGGCGTTTACCACCACCCTCCTACATGGAGGGCTTTTAATTTTATTTTTTGTGGAGTAAGAATGTCAAAGTTTAGCTATGTAGCCCAGGCTGGCCATTCAATGAATTGTTTAAATAATATTACTACTGTTATTGTGTGTGTGTCTGACTAAGTGTATACCACCCATGTTTGGGTGCCTGGAGGCCAGAAGAGGAGAGGGCATCAGATACCCTGGAACTGAATAACAGGCAGGTGGTTGAGAGCCAAGGAGCCAAACTCAGGTCGAAGAGCAGCAAGCATCTCTTCGGCTCTTGTTCATATATCTTAGTAAGTTATTTGGATGACAAAAAACTTTTTTTTTTTTTGGTTTTTCGAGACAGGGTTTCTCTGTGGCTTTGGAGGCTGTCCTGGAACTCACTTGGTAGTCCAGGCTGGTCTTGAACTCACAGAGATCCACCTGCCTCTGCCTCCCGAGTGCTGGGATTAAAGGCGTGCGCCACCAATGCCCGGCGACAAAAAACTTTTAGTGGTTGAAATCCTACCATATAACATTTCTAGACCTGTGGTAAGAGTTGGGGATTCCACTATAAATATAGGCTCAACATTATATATATTGGGGTGTGTTCTTTAGAAACAAGGTCTCTTTTAGCTCCATTCACTATGTAGCAAAGGATGACCTCAAATTTGCAAGCTTCTAACATGAATGTTGACAACATAGGTCTGAGTCAACCATTTAAGCTTATTTCTGTTTTTTTCACATTTGTTTCTCCCCCTAAGAAACGATTCTTTTCTGGGGGTATGGGGGCATATTGAGACAATGGTCACTCCATGCAGCTATGTCTGGCTTGGAACTTTCTCCAAGTCATGAGATTAAAGTTGTGAGCTATCACAATTCGCCTAGCACAAAATGGCAAAAAAATTTTCTCTATGTAGTCCTATATGTCCTGGAATTCACTCTATAGGCCAAAAGCTAATGTTAACTCAGAAATCTCCCTGCTGGAGCCACAAGGGGGTACCACCATACTTGGCTCCCAAACGCAAATGTAGGACTCAGACACTTAGTGTTTTTAGGTTCTCATTTGCCTTCCACTTGACTCTAAATAATGATATGGGGTGGTTCTCTGGAATCTTCATTTAATATATTATGTATGTAATAATTATGTATATGTGAATGTGACATGGCATTAATGTAGAATCCAAGATAAATTTGTGTTAGCCAGGCGGTGGTTGCTCATGCTTCATTTAACCCTAGCACTTGGGAGGCAGAGGCCAGCCTGGTCTACAAAGTGAGTGCCAGAACAGCCAGGATTGTTTACATAGAGAAACCAAAAAACAAAACAAAATAAAAAGACTCACTGTTACTTAAGCTCTGAACTGAGCTGTCACAAGATGCCGGCAGTAGAACAGATTGTAATGAGAATAGACACCCTGAGCCTCTGCACCCTCATCCTACCCCAGAGGTTTGTAACTGGGAGTCAGTGTGGCTCTGGGCACCTTTATACCTTTCTTTATTAAGTTTTCAGAACAGTACCTGTTTCCACATTCCCTCAAGTCACCAAATGCAATGTTGTGTGGGTTTACAAGAATCTCATGTAGCATACCTACTCAGTAAGCATGAACTATTTTGTGGGTATCACAGTAATACATTCATTTAAAAATATATATATAATATAATGTGTCATGGTAACTTAGTTAATATTGAACAATCAATGGGAAAGATACTGCTTTTTACATGTTGTATTCACGTGTGCAAGGGAGGAGAAAGGCATGGCACTATCTAGTAAGGCATGGGCTATCCTGAATGATTGGTTTATGGCCTTCTGCAGGTATGGCTGGTGGCAGAATGCTCTGGCAGTTCCTTGTAAAAAACATAAGACCATTGAGGTGGTTCAGAGGGAAAAGAAATAGTGGAAGGAGACAGTTAACTCCAAAACTAGTCGTTTGAACTCCATGTTAAGGAGTGTTTGCCCATACAAACACATGTATGCAAATAAATGCTTAATAACGTAAAAACTGATGTCCTTCAAAGTTGAACTTTTGACAACTAAATGATGAGGATGTGTTGTGTATGAGTTCTCCAACCTGGCCATGCATTTTCACTTGCTTCGTGGTTGCTTTGACTCCTCACAAAGCTCCCACTCCAGGGTTTCTCTGGGTAGCCTTGACTGTAGAACATGCTGCCCCTGAACTCAGATCAGTACTGGGATTATTAGTGTGTGCTTGCTGTGTTTGCATTGGTGTTATGGTTAGGTCAGAATCGTTTGGTTTTAGTTTAACAAAAAAACTGAACACCGTGGGTAGGGTGTGGTGTGCACCTTTCTCTTCTTTGTTTTCCCCTTCTTTCCTTCTTTCCTTCCTTTCAGATAGAATCTTGCTATATACAAATATGGCTGGCCTGATATTTGCTATGTGTCCCAGGTTGACCTTGAACTCATTAGTGCTGTCAGAGTTTCCCCTGGATGCTTCCAATGCAGGCATGGATATGTTCTTGTTGTTGTATGATTATTTGAAGTCAGGGTCTCATTCAGGCTGAAGTAGTAGTTAGTCAAAAGTGTTGTCACCATGTTTAGCTTCCTTTTTTTTTCTGCCCATCTGTGAATTAGTTAAAATTTGTCGATGGCAGGTCACTTCCGATGTGATGTAAATTGGGAAATCTGGGAATGGGAGTATGGAGTTCATTAGCAGAGCATTTACTTTAACATGCATGAGTCCCTGGGTTCAAGCCACAGCATAAACAAACAAACAAATAAGAAAATGAGAAAGCAACCCATGCTGTACAAGGAACGTGAGCTTTCGTAGCAGCCTCAGCCTCAGAAGGGAGGGTGATGAAACACAGGCCTTCCGGCCCTCACTCAGTTCGGAATTTCTGGTTGTGGGAATCTGTTCTGAATCCAACTGCAAGTGGAAAAGCCATTTTTGGCCTCCCAGCCAGGCAAGCCATCCTGCCAATCCTGCAAATGTACTGCAGAAACTTTGGCCCCAGGAGGCAGGAGCTTGGGCTTACTTCCCAAGATCTGTGCAGCTGTCAAGGTGGCTGGGATGGGACTGTGATCTGTCCCCATACAGCTTTTTGGCAGTGACCTTGGGACCAGCCCTACTTGAAACAACCACTCTGGTCCTCTGCCACTGGAGTCTTTTCAGCTGTTACAAGAAGCGCAAGGGAGCTAACAGGGGGGGATTCTGCTCTTGGTCCTGCCTTTCCTGGTGTCTGACAGGTGTCATGTGTTGCCAGAGTCGAATGGATGGCTACCACACACTGAGATGTGTGCATTACACACACACACACACACACACACACACACACACACACACACACACACACGGTTGAGGGAGTTGGTGGCATGGTCACCCCTGGCTCAGGATCAGCGTCTGGGGAAGTGGGTGGTTGGTTCCTAAGATGGTGTGCAGGCAGGCTCCACCTGGGGACTTAGTTGGTGGCTCTGGAGAGAGGCTTTCTTGCAATTGATCTTGGGAGAAGAGCCAGAAATGCCCCTTTCCTTCAAAGGTTCCGGTTGGAATCTGCGGCGAATTTCTTTGGGCACCCGAAGGTCACCAGCTTTACAGACTTCCATCTGTGTAGTCGCCGAGAGAGTGCCAAGTGTATCTTGAAAACGCCACCCCTTTTACCGTCTACATCCTGCCCTTGTTCTCTTCTAAGTGGCTGATTTTTTTAAATGCGACTTTGTCGTTGGACATTTATTGACAGAAATCAAATCGTTGTTTCTGGGCCAAGCGCCGGCTGCACCGAGGTGTGGTTCCCAGGAATGAGACATGCAGCCCAACAGCTGAGCCTGCGCTGTCCTCACTTAACCTCCCTGCCTTCAATATCGCCAATATTTAGTCTTGCCTTATAAAGTCAAAATGCACAATACCTTCCAGGGTTGCTGTGAGCTCCGATGCCCCCTTAGGCTCAGGGCTATCTCCTGCCGGGTGGTAAAGAGCAGCGCGCCCCTCCCTGCGCCAACCATCCCTGGTGCCACCCAAGAGGTTCCTGCTCAGGGAGACTCCGCCATCGATCCGATCCGATGGTGGCGACCTGGGGGATTTGCGAACATTGTCTCTTGCTGAAGCCTCCTGTGATTTCGGTGACGGCGACCAGATCCTCTGCAGAGAACTCCATGTCGCAGCTTGTGGCTGCCTGTGTCCTGTGGTGAGAGCCCAGCCTCACAGGAGATCCTTTGTCTGGGATAGTGCTAGGCTGCGAAGATCACTTTGGAGTCTCTAAGCTCTGCCTTGCCATTGGCTGCAGTCTTTGTGGGGCTGTTTTTGCAAAAGGCATGCCCAGCACGTCTACAGTGCTGGCAGGCCAGGGCTGCCTTTAAACACCATGATAATGATACCAAAAGCAGTTTGCAGAACTGCTCTCTGTGGAGGCTTCCTCTGCAGAAGTAGGCAAGATGGCTACCTCGTGGGCTTCGCCGTGAAGAATGCAGAGGCTAATTAAGAAAGACTTTTAGGGGGAAAAGGGGCATTTCCCTCCATCTTTATTTATGCAAGGTTGTTTTTTTTTTTTCAGTGACTTTTAAAGTATACATTTTACATGGGCTATTCAGGGACTGACTAATATGTTAATGGTACTAAATGGTAGAAGTTTTTACAGAGAAGTAGCAAAAATTCTTTTTGGAGGGGAAAGGTGGGAGCTGATATATATATGTATATATATATATATATGATATGTATGTATCATATATATATCACATTAATGGAGGCTCATTTCAATTTTACTTTTTTTTTTAATTTTAGGTTACAAAAGAAAACAAGAGGCCCCAGAGGGAAAAGAAGCCCCAGGTTTCAAAGGTAATCAGCTGTTGATTAATTAAATGATATTGTCTTTTCCCATTTCATATAGTATTTTCCTGTCACCTGAGGGTGAATTTGCAGCACAGTGGATGTGGGTTCTCCCAGGTTGTCAGTGGATTCATGAATTTTCACTCAACCACAGTCTGCTTCTCCCTCCTCCCTCCCCCCTTGCCCACATTAGCATCCCTTATGCTCAGCTTCTTACAAGTCTTGCACAGAAGAAAAAGTTTATATGCATAGTGTTGAGTAATTCCTTTTCCTGGCCAGCTCCTTTTGTGTCACCTGCATCTGTGGCGTTGTATCCGATGGACTTCAGCTCCATGATAGGGAAGTTGACAGCTATGATTCATTTTTTTTTTAAAGAACCAGAAAATACTATTGTAAAATCTTATTTCCTCCCAAAAGTGGGGGAAGGGGAATGTCCTTAGTGCATGGAGACCTTATAGCTAAACTCTAATTGCTTAATATGAAGTGCTCACTATGTCATTCTTAGTTTTGGCTGCTTTAGATTTTAAGGAATTAGCATCTATAGAGACTAGATGCTCAGAGTTCAGTAGTAACCTGATTTGGTTGTTATCTCAATCTGTTTGCAGCTTTGTTCATGGTATTTGGAAGAGTTAATTTAAAAGCCTGTGGTCTCACGAGAAGTCCAAGGCTAGCTTTAGCCTAGCAAATTGCTTACATGTTTAAGATTTCAGGTGCTATACAGCAATACTATAAATGTTAGCAATCCTTTAATTTGTAGAGGAAATGCTTAAACAGTAAAACCACTGGTCTAAAGAATTGTTCTGTATATTTAATGTAAAAGGACTTAATCATATCTTTGTGTTTGCAAATAAAGTTTCAGCCCTCCAACATGCCGAATTGTGGCAGATTCCGATCTCATTGGCTGCTCTATTGTGTCCATTGAAAATGCTGGTACTGAAAGCCAGACATTGCCTGGCTTGCTGGTTTTACTGACCACTTTGAGGTTTCTGTTTCCTGTGTGCATGCAGAAAGGGCATGAACATTATTCATCAAACGAGAAGTGCTTACTAGAAATTGACCACAGAGTCACAGGGTAGGCTCTGTAAAGTGAGTGAAGCTCATTTCATGAGTCCTGGACAGATCAAGTAGGGCTAGTTGTTTATAGGTACATTAAGCCATCTTTTTCTTGTAACCACTCACAACCTATTATACCTCCCAACGATAGATTATCACTGACTTTTAATCCCTCTATGGCCTGTTGTAGGTGTCCATTTCAGGCATTAAATTGTTAAGTGAGAATGTTATTACACCTGTAATTCTAGCCCTAGCTGTCACAGAGATCTGCCCTTCTCTGTCTCCCCAGTGTTGGGACCCTGTCTTAAAACCATAAAGAAGTAATTTTAGTGTTTGTTTGTTTTTTGTTTTTTGTTTTTACGAGACAGGGTTTCTCTGTTTTGGAGGCTGTCGGTCCAGCCTGGCCTCGAACTCACAGAGATCCGCCTGCCTCTGCCTCCCGAGTGCTGGAATTAAAGGCGTGCGCCACCAACGCCCGGCTGAAGTAATTTTAGTGTTAATGTTGTATAGATTGCTCATAAATGGGTAAGGATGGTGTGTGTGTGTGTGTGTGTGTGTGTGTGTGTGTGTGTGTGTGTGTGTGTGTGAGTGAGAGAGAGAGAGAGTTAGTGTGCATGCACGCGTATGCAGAAGTAATTGTGTTCCCAAAGTTCCATCCCATGTTTCTTTGGGGGCTCATGCAGCAGATTGTGATCCTTTTATTTTAATTTTTTTTTTGGTGGTCACTTTTATTTTTTTAAAGTGTCTGTGGGTGGTTTACTTTCTTTTAAACCAGGTAGGACTGAATTCTTGATTACTAGCCATCTATAGTAGGTGTCTGTTGAGTAGTAGAGATTGGCATATACAACAACATTAAAACCAGAATATATTTTTACTAAAATGAAAATATTTCTTTGGGACGTAGGGGCAGGGCTTGAAATAGTTTATCCATGTAGACCAGGCTGGCCTCAGATCCACCTGCCTGTGCCTCCCAAGTACTGGGACTAAATGTTTGCACCATTACCACCTGGCTGAAAATGTTATTTTGAATATTTTTTGGGTGTATTTCTGTGTATGTGCCAATGAGTGCAGGTAGCAATGGAGTACAGAAGAGGGCGTCAGATCTCCAAGCACTGAGTGACAGGTGGTTCTGAGTCACTTGGTATGGGTGAAATTGAGTTGTGTGCTCTTAACTGCTGAACCAGCTCTTCCTTTAGTCCTTTAATTCATTTTATTTACTTATTTACTATTTTAAATTTTTCCTTTCCTTTTTGTCTCAGACTTCTAGATACTAGAATTTCCAACATGAGACAATATTTCTGGCTAAACTGAATATGTTTAATGTTGGGGTTGGAAATTTTTTTTCTGGAGCCTAATTTTCACTGTAGATCCACCTGCCTGTGAGTCCTGGGATTAAAGGCATGAGCCCTTAGGACCCAGTCCCCCACCCTTTTTTTTTTTAATTTTTTTTTTCCTGGTTTTTCGAGACAGGGTTTCTCTGTATTGTTTGGAGGCTGTCCTGGAACTCACTCTGTAGACCGCCTGCCTCTGCCTCCTTAGTGCTGGGATTAAAGGCGTGTGCCACCAATGCCAGGCTGAACCTTTGGTTTTTAAAAAGGACAAAAACTAGGATTATGGAGATAGTAATATCAGAAATCAAGCCTGTACCAGTTTCATAATTTACCTGTAAGTCATGTGGGTATTCCGGGGAAGGTGCACATAACAGTCTTCACTTGGATCCTGTTCTTTCATCACCAGTGGACATTTTCCAGTATATGGTTATAAAACATTATTATGTACTCCCATTATTTGGAATAACTGGGAGAGTATACAATGTCAATGAATATTAAACCAGGAAGCTGTCTGCAGGGTTAGTTTTTGAAGAAGTAATTTTGTATCAACCCTCCTTCCTTGAATGGTGATAGGGAGAAGCAAGAATGGGGCCTGGGAGGAAGAGGACTTTGGGCTTGCATCACACTAGCGGAAGACCGGGCACTTGCATATATCTACATACATGAAAGCATGGTCTTGAGTGGCACAATTTTGAGAATATTTAGAACATTTGAATGTTCCATAAAGGTTTCTTTCTGAGTAATCATATTAACAATTATGGCTAAATGTATTTCAAGTACATACAAAAAAGATGGGGCCACAATGGTCTGTTTGTAGTGGGGACACACACACACACACACACATACACACACACACACACACACACACAGTCCAATGTGTTTCCTGCCACAACTGTGAGATTAAAAACTAACAAGGAAAGGCAAGCCAAATAACTAAAAAAAAAAGTGAGTAAATTATAAATTGTGCTAACTGCTTGGAAGGAAAGAAAAGACCTGGAGCTTTTTAGGTTTTTGTTTCATAGTGTTTTGTAACAGGATGCAAGGGTGGTTACCAGAATTATCAGTTGTATCTTTGAGGCCTACTATTTCCTTCACTTTTCAATTGTTACTATGTGTTCTAGGGCTATATTACATAGGCTTGATACCTTTGTATTTTGAAACTTTTTAATCTACTCTGAATGTAAGATTATAACAATAGCTAAGGATTTCCCACACCTACTTATTTGCAACATTGTTTACTTTTACTTAATTTGCATTTTTCCAAGCCAGGGTTTCTTTGTGTAGCCTTTGCTGTTGTAGAACTAGCTTTATAGACCAGACAGACAGGCCTTAAATTGAGAGATCCTCCTGCCTTTGCCTCCTGAGTGTGTGAGTAAAGGCACAAATCATCACAGCCTGCATTATTTCATTTTTTTAATCTTTAAAATTTTTATTTTATTTAATTATTTTTGGTTTTTCGTGACAGGGTTTCTCTATAGCTTTGGAGGCTGTCCTGGAACTAGCTCTTGTAGACTAGGCTGGTTTCGAACTCACAGATCCGCCTGCCTCTGCCTCCCATGTGCCACCACTGCCCGACTAGAGGAAAGCTTCTTGCATCCTGTCATAGTCACATACAAATCGTGCTGCTTTTCACTGTATACTCAGTATTAGCAAAGAGCTGTCCGGCCTGGCTAAAAATTCTTAAAAATGATATTTGTCTGTGAATCCCCTAAAACTGGAGTTACAGCCAGTTATGAGCTCCCAATGTGGGTGCTGGGAATTGAACTTGGCTATATCTGCAGCCCATTGTTTACATTTTTAAAAGAATTATGGTGGCTGGGTGGGGGATGATAGTTGTTGCTCTTGGTGACACACTCTAATCCCAGTATTCAGTGGGTAGACCAGGATAGCAAGAGCTACACAGTGAGATCCTGTCTCAATCACAAAATGAATAAAAGAATGGTAAAAGGAAAAGGGTGTGTGTGTGTATGTGTGTGTGTGTGTGTGTGTGTGTGTGTGTGTGTGTGTGTGTGTACGTACGTGTACACTGTGACCAGACTTCCCATGATGTAATGATACCATTTGAAATGATAATCTTGTATTACTCTGGGAGGAAAGTTTTTCTATAGATAAAGCTCACAGTTCCAGGCACCAAATCTCAGACTTCGACATGTAAGGAAGTCTGGGGACTGATGGGAGATCCATAAGAAATATCAGCTTGCCAGGCAATGGTGGTACTCTTCATCCCAATACTGGGAGATAAGGGAATATCTGAGAGTTTGAGGGCCGTCTGGTCTACTGAGCTAGGTCCAGGACAGGCTCCAAAGCGACACAGAGAAACCCTGTCTCAACAACCCCCCCCCTAAAAAACCAATAGCAGCTAGCCAGGCAGTGGCAGTCCACCCCAGGGGGCAGAGCTCTATAAATTCAAGGCCAACCTTTTATAGAGTCAGGGCTGTTATACTGAGAAACCCTGTCTTGAAAACAAGCAAACAAACAAACAAAAAAACCCCAATAATCTTATCACTGGAATCTATTCTAAAAAAGAAGCTTAGCTGGACATGATAGTAATCCCACCACTGTAGAGGATGAAAACAGAAAGTCAGCCTGCTCTACACAGTTGAGACTTATTCCCCCCCCCCAAAA